GGTATCTTTGGATAATTACCTGCAATTCCCGGTGGGAATGAGAATCGCTCTTGAAAGCGCATATAATCGCACACGGCCAGGGAACCTCCCTGAGTTCCATTCTACAACCGGAGAACACGCGGTAGTACGCCGTCACAGAATAATCAGACGCGGCGAAGGTACTTCGAGGCTTTCCTCTATCCATGATAACTAAATGTTCGAGGACGAACATTCTAATTTTGGGGAGATAATGTTATGATACGACATGAGCCAGATTATAGATTCTGGGCATCCTGTATAATACGAAGGACGAAGAGTCTAAACATTCCTGATCGGGGTTACCCCTCACCTACTGTATAGAAGGGTTCCGAACTATAAAGGAGCGTGAGGCTGAGACATCCCTGAAGAAGGATAACACTTTTTAGACATCGAGAATACGACAGATAGACTAGGCCTATCCACTAAGGCTGAACTATCTATAAACCGATCTACTCGTAGTTTAAGAGACAGCTCCAGGCTGTTTCATAATAAAATGAACATCGAAGCCTGGCTAGCTCAATGGCTAGAGCGTGAGACTTTTAATCTCAAGGTTGCGGGTTCGACCCCCGCGTCGGGCTTTATTTTTTGCTTATTTGTTTTTTTCAAGTGATTTAGGTTTATTTTATGGACCAAGTAGGTATGCATTTGTGAATGAGAGACATTGAGGATTTATTTTGCTCCTTTTTGACTCAATGTACCCGGCAAAGGAATTTTGGACCCGAATCTGGCTCGCTCAATCTCACCTATCGCGGGTATTCATCCCGGTGATTTTGCGCGGGTCGCTTTGCTGAATAAGGAAGCGTCTAGCGCAGGTTCATATAGGGCAAAGATATGCGTGCGGCAGATATGCGAGGGTTGATATGTGCACAGCGGCAGCATTGATTGCAAACTTGAAAAGTATAAGTAGCCCCGAAGACCACCGGTCGTTTCACTTTTTTTTGTACACACAAGTATAATCAGCTTTGCTAGTCAATTCTTGCTCATAAATCAAACCAATATACTCTACAAAAATGCCTATGCAATACAAGCCATCAGCTGAAGGAAAAGAGGTCAGACCACCACAAATCCCATCCCCAGGTAACAACTCTTTCTTGGGAGACATTTTCACTTCTGACGCTCCAAAGGAACAGCAAATTTCCTGTGGCTTTTACAAGCAGGAGGCGGGGGAGCCATTGGTCTACAAGTATGACTACGATGAGATGAAGATCGTTTTGGAAGTGGAAGGCGAGTACACTTTTACTGACGAGACCGGATACAAAGTTTCTGTCAAGCCAGGAGACGTCTTTTACTTCCCAAAGGGCACGACGATCACCTTCGAGACCACTGGCTATGGTTACGCTTTCTTCACAGGTTTGAGACCAAATGGCACTGCTTAAGCGCTTAAATATTGAACGAAATAATAATAGCAACTATTATGGAACATATGGAGCTGTAGAGAAGTAATACCTGAAGTAAGTGAGCGACTGTTCTAAAAACATGAGCCATCCAAAGATGGTACATGAAATTTGGTTGTTATTAGGATTCCGAAGTCCACTAATTTTGCGTACACCATGGGCTGCGAAGCAAGACGGCGACAGCCTTGCGATCAAAAACACTTATATGACAAAAAAGGACGTGATTATTGAGTGTAAATCACATCTATTGGGACAGGAACAATCAGAAAAGATTTCTTCAAACAGTACTGGAACAATAAGTATGATGAAGTGATGCTTGGGTGGACTACGATCTGAAATGCGCGAGAATATCTTTAATATCAATGCAATATATGTAAGTCAGTTAGTTGCAAATGATGAAATTTGGAAACAAATTCGTGATCATGTTGTTTTCCATTCAAATCCTCAATTTTTTTCGTGAACACTATCTTTGTGTAATGATGAAAAGTCACTTGCTTCGATGGTCTTCTTTATGATTCCACACATCCTGTACCGCGCAACCATGGCTCCAGATCATATCTTCGTCACACTCACACTGCCAGATAGCACTAAGAAGATCTAACCATCCTGAGTATTTGCAGACAAAATTCAGTAGTAAAAAGAACATGCCTATTGATTACTCAAAATGGGACAAGATTGAGTTGTCAGACGACTCTGACATCGAAGTGCACCCCAATGTTGACAAGAAATCATTCATCAAATGGAAACAGAGAGATATCCACGAGAAACGCCAGCAGCGGAACTTGGAAATCAAATCTATCTTGCTCCAGTTGACAATGTACACCAAGTTGAACGAGCGTGTGGATTTCCTTTTACTGGAAATTCCAGAGCCAGGGCTCACAGATACGACGAAGGTTATGGCTCTACTCGACGCCCGGTTTGACAAAACCGAAAAATTTGACTATGAAAAGATGAAAGAGGAAAAAGGGGATACCATGAGAAAAGGTCTCAGAGATTTGGCATTCGATGCCGAGGAAATTGAGAACACACCGCCATATAACGAAATGATCGAGGATTTGCTCATTCAGGTAAAAGAAGACCACCCCGACGCTGCTGAAAATGGTTTGGTGTTGGCAAACTACTTGAAAGAACACAGAGCCAAGATCGATGACCTCTTGCTGAAACAGGCAATTAAGCTTGACGACTTGATTTATCAGAAATCTTTGTTGATCAGTAGTGATGATTACCACACAGGGTTCGATCGCTCGTTTTTGAACAAAGATAACGAAGAAGAGGAGACAGTGAAGTCGGCTGAAACACCGAAAGCCTCTATTGGTAATGCGTTCCAAAAACAACCTAAAACAATAACTCAAACAGAAACAATCAATTATCTGTCTGTGACTCATGATTCTATGTCACCCTCTGCCAATATTGTGCCTGAGAACGAAACGTGCGCCAAAACTGAGCAAGATGCTTTTGATGAGTTGGAGGTTCGCCCTGACACTGCAGTGTTCGCCAAGATTCCATACAAGGACTTGGAGAAAAGTGCAGAGTTCTTGATCAAACATCCATACATCTGCACAGAAAATCAGAAAGACTCCTTGATTATGACTGCGTTTGACTTCCAGCTTGAGGGAAACACTGATGGAGCAAGACAAGTGATTTACCAATCATTGTTGCTACAGTATATCGCGCAATTGGCTGGTCCCAAAGCCAATAAGGACCAGACAATCAGGGCCATTAAGTTGTTCTTTTCCAAGCTAAAGGAGACCACACTGCAAGCGAATCGAGCATTTGTTCAGGATGTGGAAAACACCGTAAATCATATCAAGCAAAGATGTGAGGTAATCCTGCTGGAACACCAGGCAGGAGGTGATGGAGAAGAGGCCTTGATTCAATTGAAGTCATTAGATGAAAGTACCGAATTGCTGGTCAATACCCCTGAGGAAGGAACCGAGGAGCACGAAATTTTTGTTACAAAGCTAAGTCCTGAGATGCAAGCCGCGATTCACACTGGTTCGTTGGACGAAGTCAATAAGGTTTTTGCTCTGATGAAGGTAGAGGATGCTGAGAGAGTGCTAGAGATTTTTCAAGAATGCAATGTCATTGGAATAAGCGGTGTATTGGAAAACGAAGAGGAATTCGAAAAGTTAAAGGAGCAGTACGATGAGAATCTTCAAATTGAAGATGAAGATGAGAGCATCCCGGTGCCTGCTGCGCAAGAAATTCAATTCAACACCGCAGATGAGGTCGACTAAACATAAGAGGGCACTGACTCGGCATTGTTTATTTGGTGGAAAGTGACTAGTTTATATATTGTCAGTGTTTGAGGGAATAATATACGTAGAGAAAGTTCATTCGAGAAAGCATATCAAGCGCATTCCAAAGAGATGACCTAAGGTTTTACTGTGAGGATATAACAGACGCCAACACTGAACTACGCCAGGAGTCAATATGGCTGCAATCGTGTTTACTGTCCTTCCAATCTCGAGAGCATATCCATCAAAGCCTGATTTGGTTGCCCTTGTTGCTGGGATGCACTACTATATGGTTGCTGGGGTTGTTGGGGATAAGTTGTCTGGAAAGGGGTTGCCAGAGGAGGGGGTTGGGATTGGATTTGCGCGAGTAGGGAATTGACTTGAGCAGAGGGGCTACTCTGTTGATAAGTTGATGTCTGCGCAGAATTCTGATATGCTGGTGGAGCCTGGAAAGAAGGCGCTCCTGGTTGTGGGGCTGGGGGCCCATTTTGCTGTTGTAACAAAGCAACAACACTACGCATAGTAGTGGGGTCAAGGTTCTGCAAAGTTTGAACTAGAGCCGGGTCTGCAGGAGCTGGTTGTGATGATGAGTATTGCTGGGCCATCAGTCCGCTATAATGCATCGGCCCACCCTGTGAAGGACCTCCAAAATTTTGATGCTGATTGTCTGGATGGCCCCTGTTACTATGATATCCGTTGTGATTGTATCCTTGATTTTGATTTCGGCCATTAAGGCGAAATCGATCAGGTCCAAATTGACCGTTGTCGTAGCCTGGCTGTTGATAGTTCAGACCAGAGCCGTATCCTGACCCGCGGCCTTGGTAGAAATTGCCACTATTCCCTGAAAAGGAGTTGTAGCCGTTGTCACGAGGCATATTCTGGTCCCAGTTGCTTCTCGATTGTCCTTGATGGCCGTTATTTCTTTGCCATCCATGAATATCGCGGCCATCTCTCTCATTCTGGTGAAATCTGGGAGGTCTTTCGGGAAAGTTTCTTCTTCTGTCATCCTGGAAACCAGCATTGGCGTTTTTTGCAGATTGCCTGAATCTTTGAGAACGGTCCGTCCTTTTTGAGGAGCTCAGTCTCGCCATTGTCTCCCTTCTTTGCACCCTGCTACGCTTTGCGCCAGCAATAAGTTCGCAGGCCGCTGAGGGCTCGATGTCAAGGTACTCGTCAAATTTGACCCCCCCATCTCCCGTTTCTTCAAAGATTTGAAGATCGACCTTGGTGTCCTTAACAACACAAGCCCCCAACACACCCAGATATGCGGCATCGCGAATTTCTTCACTGGGGTCCTCATTTCCGATCTGTTTCAACTTGTGTGTCAAATGATCCTTCTGCAAAGCCTGTTCGAATGTGTTGACGAGCACATCAGAAGATTTTTCTGTAGACACAACATGGACATCCTCTACATTGACTCTTGCTCTTTTTGAATCAGACCCCTCAGAGTCATCATTTGCGGAACGCTCTCTTCCGCGGCCACCTGTTTCTGTAGGGCCTTGTGCATTTTTACGCTTATGGGAAGAGTCGAGCCTCATCAATCTATTGTGAAGTGGCTTTCCTGTCTCACCATTTTTGCAAGCAGCACATGCTTCAGGTGTCTTGAACTGCGCGAAACCATAGCCTGTTTTAAGCGAGATTTCTACCAATTCACCATAACGGCTGAAAATACGGAAGAGGTCCTCCTTTTTCACGAGGTTTGTAGCAAGATTCCCCACAAAAAGCCTAGAGTCTTCGGGAAGTTCCTCTTTTGAATTCAAAAACTCAGACTCTGTGACAAGAAACTGCTCATATGCCTGAATCTCCTGGTCTGTCATGGGCAGCATGATATCGGGTCGACTATCTTTCGAGTTGTCACTATCTCTTTGGCTACTCATTTGTCCGGTTGAAGAGACGGTCAAGTTGCTGCTATTTTGAGGTTCATTAATTTCCCGGATGCTTTGAGTTCCAGGTAACGCAATGTGTTTTTCTCGAAGAAGCTCCTGGATCACCTCCATCTGCTTTTCTTTTGATAATTGCGAAAACAGTTCCAGCCTTACAACTTCGCTTTGCATAACTGCATCGTATGCCTCTTTGAGATTCGCTATCGGAACATGCTCGGCCTGCTCAGGTTGTTCAGTGGGTTTTGGCGGTAAGCATGGAGCCCTGTCGGCAGGAGACCCAGGCAAAAGACCCTTTTCTGGGTCATAGTCATCATCGGAATCAGAAGCAGGAGAATCCTTTTCTTTGGTTGCAGAGTCTCCACAGGATTGACTCTTGTCATTACCTGAGTTCACTTCCGATGTAGACTGCACTAAAGCATCGGTAATTTCTGAGTCAGGAGAGTTGCTCTCCGTATTTTCATTATCATTATCAGCGTGTGACTTAGCATGTTCTTCAGAACTTTCTTGGGCTGTTGTGATAGGATCTTCGGTTTCCAGAGGTAACTCAGGCTCATAGTTGCTTTCGGTTTCACTATCAGGCGTGGAACTCAAGTCAGCTCCAACTGTTTCAGAACCGGTCGGTAATGCTTCCACGGGTTCAGTTACAGCAAGCGCCGATTCGGGGTCATAGTCGTCCTCGTCGTCGTTGACTTCTAGAGCGCTGTTATTTGTTACATGCTCATCAGCGGAAGAGCTCCCCAGGCGTGCCAGGGTTTCTGCAACTTCGTTAGCATCATCTGCAGTATGAATGTCATGGTCTGGTGTAGCCTTGTTTAGGGCAATGTCGTCAACGATAGGCTCAGACGCCATAATTACAATAGTGTTCAGAGCTCGGATGATTGTGAGTGTCTCTTTTGAGATAACAAGTATTGCATCGGGCGATGCGCCGCGGATACACGCACGTGACTAGCAGACTCAAATCTCTGAACTTACTGTCAAGTGAGGGAGTAGCTACTACGATCTTGACACATGCATTTTTTTGCTGTTATCGGCATGCAAAGAGAAATTTTATTCGGGTGAAGACAATGTTGTGATGACTGGTTGTGGAAGACAGATTAGTCTCAAAACCGATCAGGCTCACGGAATATCTAGTCACGTGACTCTCAGCCTGATGTCACAGGCGTGAAACTGAGGCTCCCCAAAATTGGCTTTCCCGGTTGGTATCTGATTCACTGGCTTTGAGGGGAAAAGTCCTGGTGCTTTTCAATTGTGCTCTCATCTTTTCTCTTTTGTAGCAGCGGTTGCACCTGTAACGCGGTGTGTTTTTTTCTCTTTTCTTCGATGTCTTTCATTTTTGTCAGCTCATATCTTTTACCATTTTTATTCGTACCGGCTTGTCCGATTCTTTGTCTGTACTACGTGGGGGCCACCCACCAAGTAGGTGGGCACTATGCTGTTGTGTATACAGTATACCTGCGTGGGGTACCTATAGCTACGCCTGACATCAAGAATGCCAGATACCAGGGGCTATTCAGCGGGTTGAAAGCTACATTGATTTTAGGGATGCCGTAATTTTCTGATTATTTACTGCAGCCGTACGCAAAAATGGCAAGTTTTGTTGTTGCCCGATGTTTGACCAACATTACAGAAAACGGCTGGCTTGGCATGCGCGGTGACGCCAAAGATTTTCCGGCCCCAGAATCCACTGTGCATCCAGTCGACCAAAAATATCTTGATATTCGCAAGGTGGACGGAAAATTTCGGTCTGATAGAGGCTTTCAGTGGCTTGTTTGGGGAGTCTAAAAAAAATGAACGTCGTTCGTAGTCATAAATTCGTAAGATGTGACTAACACCTGCTCGGTTGATGCCCCCACATTTATGCGCATATTTTCCGGAGGAGCTCCCTCCGGTTTATGTCAGCCAACTTGGATTGGCTCCACGTTAATCGTCGCACTATGTCAGTGCCTATACAATATACTATTGCTGTTTCAAGTTTTTGTTAATTTGTAGAGTATGAGATCTGTAGGGCATGGATCTTGGCATTTGCTATCTATGTCCAAGCCGACAATAGATATCGCTCATTTACAATCGGACTTCCTCCAGCAACGACTTTGTTTTCAATCGCAGAACAATCAAAGAATTCTTTCCCTTTCATCCCTTATGGCTTTGAAGCGAGCTGGACCTTTAGTGCCTGCTTTGTGGGCACATCCTACCTAGCTGAAAGCATCATATAGAACGTTGAATTGCAACAGGGCGCGCATTTGTCCGCGTCCCCCACGCGCGAAGACACGGGCTCGTAATTATTCTAGGAATCCAGAGTCTGACTAGTCTATTTAAGGCCGCCATTTCTCCCCACCCGAGCACGTCTACTTTGAAATATTGTAGACTTGTCGATTCGAAAAAAAATATGACTTTGAACGTTGGCATTGTTGGAACAGGGATTTTTGCTTCCAGTGCACACTTGCCTGTGATTCAGGCTATTGATAACCTTAGGCCTGTGGCCGCTTACAACAGAACCAAGAGCAAGGCGGATACATTTGCCGCACAAGCTGGGATTGCGCCTGAAAATGTTTACGGAGATCTCGAAGAACTTCTTGAAAACCCAGATATCGATTTCATCGATGCTTTGTTACCCGTTCAAAACAATGTTGACATTGTCAAGAGCGCAATCAAGCACAACAAGCCGATCATGTTTGAGAAGCCTATTGCCGCTAATATGAAGCAAGCCAGAGAAATTGTGGAGCTTGCGGCATCTACAGATTTGCCTATTGGGATCTTGGAACAATGGGCTTTCTTCAGTAGCATTGCCCAAATGAAGGATATCTTGTCCCGCATCGGAAATATCCAGTCATTCACCTACAAGGCGACTGGGCCATGGAATTCCAATAACAAATACTTGGCTACTGCTTGGAGACAAAAGCCTGAACATATCGGCGGCTATTTGAGTGATGGCGGTGTCCACCAGTTGGCGCTACTCACCGAAATTTTGGGAAATGTTGAGTATATCAGTGGCCATACGAAACAAGTTAGAAAAGAGAGCGGCACGGACGATATCTTGTTTTCAACCTTGAAGTTGACCTCGGGTATCATCGGCACTTTTACCTATGGCTCTGCCTTCGGTGCTACTGAAAAAAGTACCAGCTTAATCGTTTATGGAGATAATGGTTCGATTACGTACGACTTCTCTCCTTCTTTGCCAAAGCCCACAATTACCTACCAGACAGGCGCCAACGCTCTGGAGGCCTCTGACAAGATTGTTCTTCAGGTGGATGAAGTAAACGCCATTGAAGAAGAGTTCAAAAACTTTGCAACCGCTGTGGAGGCCAAGGATAAATCGCTTGTAACTGTGCCTCCAGCAAAGGCGTTCCATCACTTGGCCATCATTGCAGCTGCGCTTGAGTCTTCCCAAAACAATGGCTCTAGTGTGAAAGTTGAGACTCTTTAGGTAGTCAAGGATGTTTCCTCTGACTTATAGAACCATGAAAGATATGTAAATTAATATATGTGATTTCTCTCAGAGCTCGTCATGATGAAGCCTTGTGTATTGAGATGTCTCTTCCGTCTTTGGAAAAAGGATATGTTGAGTTTCTATGGCTTCACTCAGATGCATGTCAGCAATTTCAACTTGAAGCGAAGACTCATCTTGATGATCACCGAACTGTATTGATTCGACGAGCAAGCCTTCAGCTTCATCCTTATGATTTAATGTCACAGGCTGCTCGTCAATGCCCAAACTTTCAGTTTGGGCATATTGAGAAGCTAGTGGTTGATTCGCTCCGTAGTCAGATTCTGGGTCAGGTTCATATATCAAAACAGATTCTTTATCTTTCTGTGTCTTGGTCTCGAGGTTCGCATCACTGACTGCTTCGACCTTGACATAGCTGTTATCAATGTCAGGAACATCTTTCGTTTCTAGAGCCTCATCGCTATTCAGTTTGCCCAATAAGTTTCTCTCCGCGTTCTCAAATCCTTCTTGCGCTTTATCGATCAACAAAACACCACTTTCTTGAAGATCCTCACTTTGTGATGCTTCCTTGCTTGCTTCATTGTTTATAGCGTCTTCATCTTTCGACATCACTACGGGTTCATCATGATTCTTTTCCCTGGAAGGCTCCATCGAAAGTTGACCGTCCATAGACATCTTAGAATTCCGTGAAGCAGTTTCGATTTCCAGAAGTATTTCCAGAATTTCGACTGCTGAAACCAGGTTCAACTCGTCCAATACAGGAGAAAGATCTGGAGTGTGGGTTGCTTCAGGAAAGGTGCCCTCCCACGTCAAAACAAGCTTTTCTTTGCGGGATTCTGGCACAAACTCTTCTGTGAGGCCAGAGGGTTCTTCGAGACTACTTCTAGAGGAAGAAATTGCAGCGGCTGGCTCTTTTGAGCTGCTCTCTGTCTCAAGCACCAGCGTGCCTATAGAGGACGAAACGCTTTCTGGATATGAAACTTTCTCTTCTGTGTTTATAGAGCACAGTATAATATGATCATTATCGATTGGGGACGGCTTGTGGGCCAAAAGCGGGGTCTTTTCTGACAAACCCCCGATTGGTTGCTCGCGTGTGGTGACAGAAGTTGCCCAGCTGACTACACCAAACATCTTAAGCAAGGTCCACACGAGCATCTTGACTGGCACTTTCAAAACACGTCTCCACAATACCCACGCAGAGCAGAGAAGCAAGAACAAAATTGCGGCGTAAATGCGCCGCTTGTCGTGCTTGTCCTGCCTTTCAATGAACTTGATTATTTCACGTGACTTTGTGAGCACGGTCTCCATGTCAATCAACTTGTCGTTTAGCTGCATTAAATCTTTTGACTGTTGGTCAAGCGTGTCGATGTTCAACTCTGTTTGCATGACCAGCATTGTCATGAGCTGCTTCGAATGTTGCAAACTCGACGAGATATTTTTGTTCTGTGTCAAAATCTGCTCGTCGACGCTCTTTGTTTTGTCGTTTCCACGCTGACCCTCATGCTTGGCAGACCTTCCTTCGAACAATGCTTGCTTGGCATCGACAGGTTCGGTTGGGTCACTGCCTTCCAGGTTTTTAGCAGGACAATATTCTCGAAGCCGTTGCTGGTGTACTACGTCATTTTCCATGCGGTATGCTGCCAACTGGCTTTCTTTGAGTTTCCGACGCAAATGCTTCACTTTGCCATTGTAGAGGTCAAGAGTTTCATGAAGATAGTGTTCAGAAGCAGCAATTGCTGGAATCCGCAGGATTTTCAAGTCTGTGACCCTTAGCAAATCCGCTATCTTGTGTATGAGTGTTGTGGCAGTTTTCACGGTCTTTTCCCTGAAGATTTGTACCGGTTCGGTGTCATCACTGGAACTTCTCTTGGAAATGCGGCTGATTTGCAGAAGCACCTGCGACTGCAAATCGTCGATCTCGCCAAACAAACATTTAATTGATTCTAGCTCCAGATTCGCAGGTGGAAAACCCATGCTTTACTTTATTTTCTTGTTAGCGTGCTGGTTTGTGTGGTGTCTAAGTTGAATTAGTACTGAAAACTCGCATGCGGTGAGCCGTTGTCTGTAGCGCACCAGCCATGCCAGGGAGTACTGCGAAACTGGTGTCAATAGACGAAACTCGCCAGAACGTCCTGAAACGTCCACTGCTCATTATATGATGTGCTCTCCTTGGCCTTTACAGAGATTTTTACAGATTCCAACTTTAGTACTACCTTAAAAAGTCTCGCAGCGATACTCTGATTAGATTGGGACTGTCCGAAAACCTCTTTCGGGTTGCGCGAGCCTCGCTTCGTACTAATAATCGCAGAACTATTTGTATAGTTTTTATAGAATTGTGCCAATTGTTGTAAATTCCAGGCAAAATTTGAGTCTTACTTGCTCTTTGGTTCAATGCATTGAACATTCAGAAGTTCATAACACCGTTCAATTGGTCTGATTTGATTGTTCTCCATTCATATCCCGCCAAAAGACATCTTTTGCACTTCGCGACGAAAGTTTTGGGTTCTCGACAATAATACCTGATCCTCTCTGAATAAAACTTCCATAAGGAGCTTGCTCTCCCCACAAGAAAAACGCATGCTGGTTTTTCGAATTTGTGTCCACTAGTTTAATAGAAAAGTCAAAAGAAGTCAAAAGACAAAGCCTGTTAATTTGGCTTGTTGAGTCATCTTTCGTTCCACGAGCACACTTACAATGTACAATCAAGTTCCAAGGAATATGCCAGAGCTACATATACGCATATTGTATATATATATGTATGAGACCCACGTGAAAATTATGTGAGCTTAGATTCAATCTTCTTTCATTTTCCAACTCCACTACAAAAGAGCTGAAACTAGCATAGCAGCCCAAGGAAAGCCCAGTCGTTCTAATAGAATCCAGGAATTTTGCTGTCTAAGTTTTTCTCCTCTGTCCAAATTCCGAGATTTTGGGAGTAAGCCTGTCACTTGCTTCACTTCATCCACAAAATAGAATTGCCTCGTTACAGTTCGCGCGGCTGTCCTCAGAAGATGTTGCGTGAGTAGCATACTGCTATTTTTCAGTTATACTTAGAAAAAGACCAATAATTCGCATGCAAAGTATGGCTCCAAATACCAATCAGTCTAAGTTCTCGGATCAAAAAGAATCTTATGTTGAAGATGTTCGCTCCTACATCCACAGACCCATGTTGGCCATCCCAAGTTCAGAACCCGGAAACGGACCTAGAATTTCCATCATGACATACAACACCTTGGCACAGGCGCTCGTCAGTCGTGAGAGATACCCCACAAGCGGCACAGCCCTTCGATGGGCCAATCGGTCCAAGGTGTTATTTGAAGAGATTGGCAATTATAGCCCAGACATCCTATGTCTTCAAGAGGTGGACGTATCGACATGGGGCACTGCGTGGAAACCAAAACTACAAGAGCAAGGATATCATGCGGTATTCCACGCGTCTCGACAGAAAAAACATGGCATTGCAATCGCATTCAAGTCTGGCAAGTTTGCTTGTTCACTGCATATGTTGGTGGACTACGACAACGAGATAACTGAGGGCATGGAAAGGTCAAAAATTACCGACAATGTCGGACTATTCGTGTATTTGTCATTCACTCCTGAGTTCCTTGAAGGCTCCTCAGCACCGTCAAAGAAAGGAGTGATCATTGGAACTACCCACTTGTACTGGCACGCGTTTGCCTCTTTCGAGCGCACGAGACAAACGTACATTTTGCTCAAACTGTGCAAGCAGTTCATAAGGAATACTAAAGTTCTTTTCGGTTCTGATTTGACATTCTATACGTATGTTGCAGGGGACTTTAATTCACAGCCGTTTGACGCTGCATACTTGTCAATCACTGAGAAACCCATAGAGTACAAGGGTATCACAAAAAACGCTCTTGGAAGATCTATTGCCCACGATTGGTATGGCAACACAAGCTGTGTGAATGAAAGCCCTGATCCTGAAAACTTCGACTTCACTGATGAAACGTTAAAACAAATTTCAAACATTCAGGCCCTTCATAATAGCGTCAATTTGAGAGCTGTTTCCCTATATTCCATCGCATACAGGCATGTCCACCCCGAGAATTCAGGGCTCGACAATGACAAAAACGAGCCGCTTTTTTCGAACTGGACAGATACGTGGAAAGGTCTTCTAGACTACATATGCGTCCTCTGCGAATGGGAAAACACAGACAATACAGCGGTCGATAGTTTGCTGGAATTCACGAAAGCATCAAGCATGAGGCTATTGAGCTTGCTCAGAATTCCTGCCAAGAATGAAATGTGCTCAGATGCGGGATTGCCCCAGCCTTGTATGTATCCATCCGACCATCTATGCATGATGGCTGAAATGGAACTATTGTGAGAACATCCCAAAAAATCATATTCCTTTTTATAGCATGACTTGCTCTTCTGGTGGAAAGAGCATGTCTCGTCTGTAAACTTCACGTCTTCAACATAGTCTGAATAAGGTCTTCTAGAGGGCCGTAGTCCTTCCTACTGATCAAGTTGAATTCATTGCTGAATAAAACGTAATGTTTCAAACTTGTGTTGAGATGACTCTGTAATCCTAATTCAGAAATTTCGTGAAAGTGATGGCAATATATGTGAGCATAAATTCTCAATAGACGTTTGAAGATCGTCTTTATCAAGACTGGAAATTGTTGTGGGAAAGGAGCACCAATTTTTGTCGGAAAAATATTCTCATTGTCAAAAAAATTTTGTATCCAATTCATGAGGTTCTCAACATACTCACATGCTGGTAGAGAAATGGGTCTCTTTGATGGTACCCCGCCACTCGCAGAGGAGGCTGTCTCCTGCCATAAATATTCGTACTCTTCAGTAGCGATCATCCGAGGACATGTTTGAGGTGAGCAGAACTCAGTGATCGTTCCATATAGCATGTTAATTTGATTATAGAAATCTACGACGTGAACAGCCAACCACTCATTTACATCCTCGTCCCTCGGAAGCTTAACTGCAGAAATCAACGCGTTATCCGAACCCAAAGTCTGTTCAGCATAACTTCTGATGTCCATGTGTGAGCTCACATTCTGGACCGTGCTCATTGTTGTATTGGCCAGTTGGAATGCATTACCTCGATCATCGAAGGGTGAGTCCTGGGGCGAATATTGATTTTTGGGCAAAGGGGGGAAATTTGTGGTGTTTGTTTGCTGGGGGCTCGATATATTCGAGCCCGGTTTCAATTTAAACCCTCTTGTGGTGCGTAATGAGTGCGTGTTGAAATTCTGGAAGAACGACATGATGTGTTATGACTGAACTAACTAGATCAATGCCTGGAGTTCAACTGATGATGTACTTTGTTCGCACTCCAGGCCTGTTTACAAAAAATCCTAACATGGATCAAATCAGGTTCGCGAAACACCTTCTTTCGGAAAATTAGCAAGGCACACACTTGTTCGGAAAGGGCACGCGTCTGCACTAAACCCTTATTTCCGCGCGCTGGACAGTGGTAATTCACGTAACGGGCGCAAGTCAATACCTTTCAGTTTGATAGATTTTCGACACCTGGGACCCTCTACTGTGCTGGAGGTTTTGCGACACAGCAGAGCCTGCCATTTCCGAGACTCACACTCCTTCATGACGTTCAAAGTGTTGAACTCGTAGAGAATTACCCCCTGGAGCTTGCGGAGCACCGCACCCAATATTGCGTTGTGATCAGGTGCGTACGCATTATCTAGCGGTGTAGCGAGCAAAGTCGCGTTCCGCTTGAGATTTTTGTAGTTAATTTTCACCAACTGCTTCCCGTAGTAGGAGAATACAAGCGGGAATTTGAACTCAAGGTTCATCATCAACGACGTGAGCAGGTACTGGAGTGTATCGAAAAGGTCCTCGAAGTAAACAGTGCGGTGCAGGCTCCAGTACTCAAACTTTATTGCAAGATGCTGCAAAAACCTCACATTATCCGCGTGTGCCAAGTCGGGGAGAATAGGGTAGAATATATCACAGCGTAGCAAAAGCTTTAAATCACAGTCTATGCTCTCTTTGTACAGCACTTCGGAAATTTCGATCGGGGAAAACATCAAGCTTTTCCATATTGGCGCATTTTCTACTTGGCGCTGGAGCAAGTTGAGCGTGCCCTCATCTTTGAGACGGTGCTCATTAATTAGTATTTCCACCGATACCTGCTGGTTAGAATGGTGACCTTCGGGATAACAACCAGGGATCTATATCCCCCGATAAAACAAAATATTCATACAGCGAGCGAAGAGGAGGCCACATATATTGGGCTGTTGTTGGCGTCCTCCTTGGAATTACGGTTGGCGAAGGACACTTCTGAGTAGGAAATTCCAAACGTGTTGCATCCCCGGCTAAAGTACATTTCTCTGGACATGTTGCCTAGTGGAGCTTTTTTGATTCGAAAATTGATAGAATGGCCCAAAAATATCAAAGCAGTCGAAAGAAACTGGTCAAGGACTGTGATTTTCCGCCAGCTCGGCTAAGAATTGTTTTCGCGCATTGGCGCAAGATCTGCCATAAATCTGCGTGCGACTCAAAGCATCTCACGGTCAAGGCCCTCCAAATTCACAAACAAATTCTATGAATCCAAGTGCTCTCAAAATGCAAGCAAAACTAAAATACACCAACATCGGCCCAAGGCTCATGGTTACAAAACCAGTGGCTTCGCCCGTCACCGCGGAATATCTCATGGGTCTTTCTCCTCGCCAAAGACTGACGTGCGTCTATAAACGAATGTACAAGCTTCGCTTTATGGCGGGTGACAGTCAAAGTCAACAAGAGGAATTCAAGAACTTGCTCAGGCGAAAATTCCAGAAACAGGACTTCAATATTCGGCGCAACAAATTGCTTGGTCTAGATGAACAACTACTGGAGCAGTCAATGGCAAGGAGACTAGCCAACACTTACGCGTTTCTATTTAATGCCACCTGCGAACCAGATAGGACCATACCCGAAGTGAATTTCTATCACGATTTAGAGGATGCCCTCAAAAGCAGACATGAAACAAGTGTTATACACACTATGCTTCGAATGGAGTACGAAACTCCTTCAATCCTCAAATACGATTACGCCTATAGATGGGTAGAAGGCGTCAAAGATTTTTACAAGCTAGCAGACCAAGAACTTCTGAGCAAAGATTACAACAAACTTGCAGGCTCAAAAATTGCGCACTTTATTGGGTTTCTTCAGTACGAAAGATCAGTTGCTTATCTTAACGAGTCTCTCACCTTGTGTCTCTAGTCACGTTCTCATATATGCCTGCATGTGGAGTTTGTCGCTTGTTAAACCTTGAAGAAACAGACACGGAGGTTGCTCTTCACCACTAATTCCGTACCATGGCCTGGCTTTCCTTAGGATCCAAAACTTCTCAGAATACAGAGATTAAGTCTCCTCAGATTGAACAACGTTCTCATCATCAAATGGGTATAGTACAGAACAATGAATCAGACATTGCTCATACTTTGAATCAAATCGCGGCTGAGGGAGAGGCGAAAGTCAAAGAAATGACTACTGAGACGTTGAACTCCACCAATGCTGCAGTCAGTGACTTTGTTCACAAAAGAGAAGGAAACATGTTTATCATAGATGGTGAGAAGTACTCCAAGGAGAGCATTATCTGCACGAACGATGGCCAAGGTAACAAAACGTGCTTGAAATTGAAATATAACCTGGTTGAGTTGTTCAAGCAAATGCAGAAGCTTGAGTACTTCTGTTCTTTGCCTAATGACATCAATGCAACTTATTTTGAGTGCAGAAAAATCACTTAAGTCTTTTTTTGATTTTTTTTTCTGATACTGAGCTGAGTATTGCTGATAACCGAACTGGCCTGTCAGATACAAACCTGATCTACTAATAGATTACGACGGACTATCTAGTCTTTTTCTGATCATACAAGCATAAGAAGAGAATTATGAAAGCATCGGAGTACATACAATTGTTAATGATAATGATTTTAATAGGAATTTTATTTGCGAGGGATTACATGTAGCTAAAAAAAGAAACCAAGGAATACACCAAAGGCAGTACCTACAAGGCGTTTGAGGAAGCTGTAAGAAGAGGCATTCGAGGAAAGAAGAATACCAGGTGACAGTGACTCGGTAGATCTGTGAACAAATTCGTTTTTAGCATCATTTGTAGTAGATGTAGGCTCTGCTACAACTCCTGCCGTAGACGATAATGTATCTGTGTTCACTGCCTCTGAAGGCACTTCAGATGGTGCTTCAGAAACCTGAGTTGGTCCTGAGACTGGCTGAGGTGCAACGGATTCTGTGGGAGTTTGAGGTGCCGGATTGAGTGTTGGATTGGGTGCTGGATTGGGTGCTGGATTAGGTTCTGGGTTTGGTAAAGGATTTGGTGAGGGAGATGCAACCGGAGGCAGCTGGTTAGGTGTCTCTCTTACATGATCATTTGCTCTATCCAGGTCAGCATTGTGACTTCCAGAAGATTTTCCAGGTGTACCAAACAAATCCTTGTATTGCTCAGCACTAGCAAGGTTGATATTTGCACAAGCAAACCGAGTCAGCTTCTGGTCATGGAACACGATTGACCTCCCAACAATGTAAGACTCAGAGGCAGGATTCAAGGAAAGGTACTTGTCGTGATATTCCGTTTGGAAACAAGTGGCATTAATCCATCCATGCTTTCCAGAAAGATCCCCAACCATACAAAGAGCATCGTCACTGTTTTCCGTACACTTCTCAAGACCTCTGAATGGGTCGAAATGCTTACCAGCCTCGTCACAGCTCACTTTGTCAAATATCTGGCCTTCATGTATATGATACACAAATGGACCATCCACAGGGGGCAAACCAGTCATGTCCACATGGACCTTTACGGAGCTGCCCTTTGGACTGGTGAAATAGACGTAACCTTTCGTGAATTTATTAGTACCTGACTCGGGAAAGTCGGCCACTGCCACAACATTCTTCGGGTTATCCTTGGAAAGGGGTGCTGGATCAGCCAAAGCAAAAGAAAAAAGGCACAGTGCCAAGAATACAAAGCGGACAAAAAACATTGCTGTGTTGAAATGGAACTTTGAGCAGACAACAGCTAAATCTGATAGAAAGACTTCAAAGATGCAAGTCGTGAGAACAAAATCAGCAGATTTCACTTCCTTGAGTGAAAGTAAAAACTAGAAAGTGGTGATTTTTGTGAGCTTTAAAAAAATAAATGTAATTGCAAAGCGCAAATATCTCTATAAATTACAAAGGTGAGAAATGGGTGCAAAAAGTAGGGTGAGAAGGGCAGATCAGAAAAAAGAAACGTAAGTTTCACCATCCAGAAAAGATTTGAAACATAGAGTTCCTTCCAGAAGAAGATAGAAATTTGATGAAAAAAAAAAAAGCTAAATCCCATGGAAAACAATACCTCAAGACCATTATGCTTCTGGTCTGATGATTTTGGTGAGTCCATAGTATTATAGCATGTATCTACTCACGATCATTCTCTCCAACTATAGTACAGGGTTATTTTCTAAATCTTTCTTTGCTAACTCTCCCTTCTATTTCCGTACATTGTCTAATTCTGCTCTTGCCCAACATACCCGCCAATATCATTTTTAGCTATATTTATTGTTTTGCAGGGCCCATTGAAGACATGTGCATATATTTGTTCTATGAGCTTTGAATTCTGAGAACTTAATAAGAAACTTTGAAGACTGGAATCACTAAATCGGTGAAAAGTCACTGGTCAGTTCCCTAAATTTTGCTTAGAGGCTTCAACTTAGCTCCGAAATACACCTGATTGTATTTGCAAGGGAGTTCGCGAAGTCCTAACATTTCGAAAATCTAAATGCCATAATTTCATTTTAAAAATCCAAGTGCCCTTCAAAAGTTAAAGGACTTTGATAAGACTTTTCATCATAAGCCCGTATTCGCAATTTAAATATTTATCTTAAAATAATAGTTTATGGGGAAGAAGTATTCAGTAATTAATTCTACATGGCTGCGATGTGAGATAGGCAGCGAAGGAATTCTCTGACGCACAAGACAACCACAATGGTATATAAGAATTTTATGTGAGACTATCTCAACTCTGAGGTCACAGAAGAAAGGATGCAATAGAAAGGAAAAATGCTTGTTCATTAAATACCGTATGCTATAGTAGAGGGATTAATTTAAACCATGAACGACTCTCCACAGCCGCATGTGCCCTTCGAATTTGGGTTTCTGAAGATAAAGCGTGTCGAGAGCTTGTCGTCGATCCAGTCCATCTCGGAGCCGACTATGGAAAAAAGCGCTTTGGAGTCGATGACAACTCTTACGCCATCCTGCTCAACAGTCTCATCGAACTTACCTGGTTCAGAGACGTACTCGAGGTGGTACGTCAACCCGGAGCAACCTCTGTTTTTGACACCAATACGGATGAGTTGTGGCTCTGGTTGATCGAGCAATGCACGAAGATTTTCTAGAGCGTTAGGTGTCAATGTGATGAGGGCCTTGCGGGGCTTCAATTGCCTTCTAGGCTTTTTGGCCTTTGTCGTGGCCGTGGTAGAATCTTGCGGGGCTGGCACAGACGCCGTGGTTGCACTAGCCGCAGGATCAGTGATGACTTTTGGGAGCTCTGCCACAGGCGCCGTCTTGACCTCGTCGACACTGGCGTTTTGTTGTGGCTCGCTTTCCTGGGCAGTGGGAGAGGCAGACGTGGCAGCTTTGAAGCCCTTGAACCTGGAAGTTCTGGATCTCCGGACAGGCGCCAAAAGAGAGATTTCTCCGGGGCGTTGGATGATTGGCAGACTAGTGGGGCTTCTTGTAGGGGCAGCCGCGGGTGTGTCTAAGGAATGTTTTGCCCAGCGAGACGCCTGGAGGCCCGGCAGCTGGGCGGGCGTTTGTGTTTGTGTCTTTGCGGCCAAGATAGGGTCGAGCTGGTGCTTGGTCCACGAGCGCCCATCAAGCTTGGTGTGTGGGAGGTCAGCGGGAAGATGAGAGTTGGATCTACCAAAATCAGCCGCCGGCGACTGCTTGCTGGGGGCAGACACGGTCCGCATAAACCGCTTCGTACTCTCGCGCAGGGTGCACCGCAAAAATGGGGTTGTGTTTAGAAGACGTCCCCTTAACATTGTGTAGATGTGGTGGTGTGGACGAGTGTGAGTAAGTAGATTTTAGTTTCTTGAGCGGTGCGAGCAAAGGTGGGGCGAATTAATAGCAAAGAGTAGTCCTTTTCGGAGCCTGCGCCTTTTGTCAGCTCCTGCGACAAGTGTTGCCGGGGGAGAGTGCGGGCCACACGATACAGGAATAGAGTCGTAAGCGATTTTTCTCGTGCATTGATTGGCCAAATACCAAGACCGAGCGCGGAGTCCGAGACTCAGGGCCGCTTTCCCGTAGTGGGGCCTCTGCCTGCGATGCCGCTTTAAGTCATGCGCTTGGCCCGGGAGTCAGCCGCTCAATACCGGGCGTTCGTTCGGCTTTAGTTGCTTCTGTTTCTTTGATAGAAGATTGGATATTTGGAGGTTTCATCTCATGAAATAAGAGTGGATACTTCAAAGCTGACTTAGATGGTATTCCCAGTATTGTATTTTATCTTGATCTTTTTTTGTATATTTGTAGGTTGATGTTCTCTTCAGTACCTCGTGAGGAAATGAGGGCAGTCAGGTAACATGTGCCTCACGCGGCAAAGCCCACGTAATGCGCAGGCAAGAAAGAGTCAGTGTTTGATATTTTCTGGGATAAGAGTGCTGCGTTTCTTTCAGTTTTATACATCGGAATCTGCATAATTCTTGACAATTGTGTTTTCTTTGGGGTAAAGAAATGCCTTTTGTTTTTCTACATCTTCTTCTCTTTCATTCAGGTCATATTTGTCATCGCGAAGAATCATGACTGATCCTTATTTAACATAAATCAATGAGACACTTAGTTTCGTTTGGTGCTATGGAGAAGGTATTGCTGTGGCAACGAGAATTTCATAGCCATTCCACGTCGTATTCCAAAACGAGTGCGTGAATATCAAAATGGCTGCGCAGGTGCCGTGTGATCCTTTATTCGAAAAAAACTTATTGATAAGCTTGTGTCCCGACAGCCTTGAAATAAGGATATATGTGCTACGCAGGTAGTTATAAAAGACACGTAATATGAATGTATTCACAGTGAGTTATATAGTACAGCCAGTCACGAATAAGGACCAGGAAGCCATTGGGGGTAAAGCCATTCATACAGCCTCAAGCCAGTTGCACCATTACAAAGGTCTAGTCTCTCTTTTCAACCACTTCAACGCAAGCGAGTTTGGCTCCAAGCTAGGACTCATCTCCTGCCAAATCGTTTGGTGATACCTGTCGATCCATTCCTTCTCTTCAGCGCTCAACATGCCCACATTTATTAACTTGCGGCAATATGGAACACGCGTCACGGTTTCAAACTGGAGAAATTTCTTGCCATTGTAGAGCAAGTCACCATCTTTGACGTACATGACGTTCTCAATACGGATTCCATATTCGCCCTCCTCGTAGTAGCCGGGCTCATTAGAGATCAAATGTCCTGGCTTCAATGCGTTCTTAGCAGCCGTGGGCCTGGGCCCAATACCAATGGGACCCTCATGCACGTTTAAGTAAGAGCCAATACCGTGGGACGTACCATGGCCGTAGTCCAAACCATGATCCCAAAGGTACTGTCTGGCGACCGAGTCAATCAAGCTGCCCGTGGTATTTTCAGGGAACTTCAACTTGCCAAGGGCAACGTGACCTTTCAACACTAGGGTATAGTGTTTGATTTCAGAAGCAGTCGGGGTTCCGAAATGAACGGTTCTTGTTGTATCTGTCGTTCCCTCGAAAAACTGGGATCCGGAATCGTTGAGGTAGAGCTTAGAAGGATCGATCGTTTTACAGTAACCCTTGACCGGCTTGTAGTGAATGATCGCTCCGTTGGCACCCGTTGCACTGATGGTGTCAAAGGATAAGCCGACAAAGTTTTCCTCCAACAATCTGAAACTAGTTAATTGTTCGTCTGCTTCAACCTCATCGATCAACTCCAGCTTGCAAATGATCTGATCTTCCAACCACGCAAAGAACTTGACAAGTGCACGTCCGTCTTTCAAGTGTGCGCTGTGTGCACCCTTCAACTCGGTTTCGTTCTTGATAGCCTTCAAGTCTTCGATGGGTGACGGAGACAACAGTTGGTACTTGCACGTCAACAGATGCACGATTTCCCACGAAGCAGTGCTGGAGTCGAGCAAGAAGGCCTTCTTGTTCAAGCTGAATTCTCTGTCTAAAGAGGCCAAGTCTGACCAGAAAGCAGTGTATGGTTTCACAGACACGTTGCAGTCTTGCAAGTGTCTTGTCACGTTGCTATCGAACTTGGTGTTGTCGGCGAACAAAGTGGCCTCGCCTTTCAGTGTGAGAAGCAAGTAGGAGTAGAACACAGGGTTATACTCGATGTCCGAGCCACGCAAGTTCAACAACCAGGCGATTTCGTCCAAGGCACTCACGATAAGGCCATGAGTGTTGTTCTTCTCCATGATCTTTGTGACTCTGCCGATCTTGGCTGCGGCCTCTTCGCCAGCAAACCTGACGTCTAGGGTCTTGATGATACTGTCGGAAGCAGGCGGCACCTCCTCGAAATGAGGCCATATCTGATCAATCAAGTTCTCCTTGACAGGCACGAGCTCGACCTGTGCAGCGGGCTTCTCCTTCAACTCGTCCCTGATCACAGAAGCAATCTTCTCGTACACCAGGTAGCTGACCAACTTCGGGTCAATGCCGATGTTGACATTCTTGCCGGAGTCCAAGGATAACTGCACGGCTTGTTGCACCGTCCATTTCTCCCACGAGGGCATGTCCTTTGCGCCCTGCTTCAACAATGTCCAGTTGAAATCCAACTCGTCGCTTGCCTGGCTGAAGTAACGCCCGTCAGTGGACAAAGCAGCCAAGCCTTCGGGGACCTCGTTCATGCTACAGATATCTCTAGTCACGATACAGGTACCTGCACTGCCCGAAAACCCGCAGATAAAGCTTCTCCGCTGGTCGAGGGGTGAAACGTACTCGCTCTGGTGCTGGTCCTCGCTGGGCACAATGTACACGGCCACGTCGTTTGCAGCCATGGCTTCTCTTAAGGCCTCCAAGCGCAGCGATGTGTTGATTTCTTTGACATCGGGCAAACACAAAGACGCAGCGTCAATCGTGAGCACAGAGCCCTTGCGCAGGGCGCCTGTTGGCGAGCAACTGCCGCTGAGGTTCCGCTTGATATTGATTCTTCTGGCAACTACTGAAGATCTCTTGTGTGTGCGAGACAACAACCCGGGAGAGCACGTGCAGTTGTGGCAGTCTGCCCTGCTCACTCTTCTATTTGCAGCTCTCATGGCGGTCAACGAATATTGCCTGGGTGTTGTGGTGTGGTGGTAAGTGGAGAAAGATTTCCGGATGGAAGGCGTTGCTAGGTACGGAGAAAAACGAGCCTCAGACGGCGCACCCGTACACCACAGATATTAGGCCGTGTGGCGTGTCTTAAAAGGGCACGAGAATGGCAGAGTTAGGTGAAGGGAGACGGGAACTTGAGGAGGGGATCCCTTTTCGGTGTGTTCATGTGGGTCTTTTTTGTGGGGTTGGTGGACAAGGCTGTTTGCGAGATGGATGTCTTGTTAGTTGTCATGCAATTAGACACTTGCGGCGAGCAACTGTGCGAGCACTTCCTACGAGCCGTGCAGCCAATCAAGCACCTGGCTTTGTCATTTCCCGATTTCTTCGGCTGCCGTCTAAATTTCCAGTTAAGGCAAATTTGTTGCTCCTTATCTTCCTGAGACCTTAAAACGAGAGCTCTGTGTGGATAGCTTCGTCAGCGACGAAATAATGAGCGGAGGTTCGGAGTGAGCGCTGGTCTAATTAATGGAAGCATACATGCTTCTTTTCTGAACCACGTACTTTACAGGAGATCTGGAAAGGAAACGCGTTCCAATAACGATCTCCCGCACCTTCGAACTTTCTTGGACCGGATAAATTTCGCTAAGGCTCCTTGGCTATTGCCCATGCTGACGTGGCTGAGAATATGTTGGGAAACTCATGGTGTCTTTGACAACAGGAAAAAAAGAACAGAAACAAAATACTCGGGTATCAGAGATCAAATGCCACCCATCTCATGAAAAAGCCATTACATCTATATTATATGTGTTTATGACGCGTCACATAAAATAATCTGGGGCCTCCAGGCCATCCTTTATACAAGGCCCGGCTTCGCTATACAGAATCTTTCCAATCTATCAATCTGTGGTCCAGGTACTGATACGAATTCACAGGAAGATCATGGCCCACTACCAACAAGTGGCCAACGTATGTAAAGGCTGCTGAATTTTACCCATCCGATTTGCTGTACTAATATTTCCAGACAGTTGAGCTTCTATACACCAGCAGTGATCCTGCCCAGGTGCATGAGCATCAGAGGTTTCTCCACGAGGTGCAAAAGTCCCCCGAAGGCTATGATGTGGCGCTTTACTTACTCTCACAAGATTCTTTGACTTGCAAGTACTTCGGTGCCTTGACATTAACTGTTGTACTTCAACACCCTGGCCTAGATGTGGCCCAATGCCAGCGAGTCGTTTCTACTCTGCTTACACATATTGGGGTGCTCACTGTGGACGCACAAACTACTGATCGAAATCTTTTCGTGGTTCGAAAACTCATGTCCAATATTTCTTTGGCGTACTTGAAATATCATCAAACATTTAATAACCCGATCATATCGTTTGTGCAAATCTTTGTACCAGACGTACCCGACCACGCGGGGGTTCTGGAATTCGCAACTCTCATGGCAAATTTTTCTTTCACGCAACTAGCGTTGTTGCTCATATTTCTATCTATTCTTGTGGAGGATGTTTCCAAGAGCAACGACTTTCGCTCGGCTATCCACACGGCGGTGCGTGAGAACCTATACCCGCTCTTCCTCACGGTGTACCAATACCTCGCTTATATTGAATCACAAAATCAGTTGCTGCAAGAGCTAGACTCACAAGCGCTTCAAACCTTACATTCGTGGATGGTCTACTTGCCCAATGTCAACGGAGACTCTCTGTACGAGGATATCGGGGTTTTGGTAGACTTCCTCTCGTTGCATTTCAAGGACGGTATAAGTGGCCAGGACCAAGACATACTCGAATCCATCAAACAAACTCTCATCATTTTCAACGAGGTGTTGGAGTTGAATGCAAACATGCTATCGCACGAGCAAAAACAGGCGTTGTACGCCACTGTTCTCGGGACTTGGGGAACGCAGCTCGTGGACACTGTGATTCTCAATGTGGAAGACGATTTTCATGAAGAATCTGCCGCATATATTGACTTATTCTTGACAATTTTGCAACTCAACTCGATACGGCTCTCTAAGTCAATTCTCGTGTCCAACACACAGGCCATTCTAGCTCTTGCTCTTAGGCTAACTGCCGTAGAGGGGACACCTATTATTGATGAGCTAATCTCCGAGAGAATGTTGCTATTTTGGGAGGATTTTGCTAGCGTGTACGAAGATTCAAGTGATGTTTTTGACACTTTCTTCGAGACGCAAGAAGACCCGCAGTTTCAGACAAAGTTTGAAGCAGAGAAGCGGCGAATTTTTGATACTGTTGCCCGCATATACTGGCGTAAACTCCGCCTTCCAGAACCCACCATATATGGACAGATACGTGCGGAATTCAATGCGTATCGATCGAGTGTGGCAGACTTCTTCTTGGTGGTGTATTCGCTACTCAAGGCCGAATTTTACCAGCTGATGAGTGAGTTTCTAATTGAAGGATCACTTCACCTTTCTACCAGCACAGAGAAATTGCTAGATGTCGAAGCCACTATGTATATTCTCTTTAAGATCAACGACGACACGGTCTATTTCGAATCCCAGGCAAACCAGCTAGCTCCATTCTCCCAAGCGATTTTTGAAACCGGATTTCTAACCAAGTTCGCTACTTTTGAAAATGGAGATTCCATGTACACGACTGTACTTGCAACACTTGTTCAGTTTTGTTCGTCTAATGTGTTTTACTACAAGACCAGTAGTGGAAGCAAACATTTGAGCGAGGTGTTCAACATTATTTTCCCGCTATTGCTAAACAGCAAAAACACCACGCTTGCGCTTCTTGCATCCAAAACGGCATTGCGGATATGTGAGGAGAGCAGTGATCACCTTGTGGACTTCCTCCCAGATTTGGAGAATGTCGTGGTAGGGATGCTAAAAAACCCAGAGATGGACAGTCTTATACGACTGAGGATGTTCAATGCGTACAGTGTCATTGCCCGAAGCATTCAAAATGTTGACGAACATAGCAAAATATTGCATGGAATGGTATCTGCGATAGCAAGTGCTGCAAGTTCCGTCATAGAAAGTATTAGTGGGTCACTGGAGAACATTCTGGAAGCCCAGGAAGAGTACCTCAGTTCTCTTCTCTCTTGTCTCGTGAACATTGCCAAGGGGAGTTCCATTTCGGACGATGCTATAGACGAGATGCTGGTCCGAGACCAGGAAACTTACCGGGACTTTTGGAGCAGGGATCCGTACATGATAAAACAGACGGTGTTCTCGATAGTGCATGAATTCTCCCTCACAAACAGCGCACTTGCCCAGAAACCGATCTTTGTCGAAAAGTGCACCCTTATTCTCAAAGCTGGTATAGGAGAGAGACTCGGTAGTGGATTCGACGTCGGCAACGAGGCCATCATGACCTATGCCCTGGCCTTAATGGAAGTTACGACAAACGCCAATACTGTGCCGTTCATTTTTGGCTTGGTAGAATGTTTGGTGAGTGTTGAGTACCAACATCTTGACCCTGCAATGATGCAGCAGCTTGTGCAAAGAATATTCACGAACAAACTAGCATTTTTGAAATCCGACCCGGACATGATCAAGAGTGCTATCGACTTGTTTTCCAAAGTGTTAGAGTGCAAACCGTCTCTAATTCTCTACACGGAGATATTTCGATGCACCATCCTCCAGTTTGCTGTGGAGGGCTTGGCAGCCAACGAGCTGTTCGTAGTGAAGTCCATTCTGCGGTTTTGGACAAGTTTCCTTGGTATGAGACGCGGAACTGGTGAAGACCACGCAGAATGCCAGCGTATTTTCACGGAGCTCAATCTTGTTGAGGTGGTGACTTCTGAGCTCATTGCATCCTTCGTCAAGAGTGCTCGCTCGAACCTCGAATATTACTACTCAGTGTTCCGGAGTTTGATAGCCAAGTTTCCCATGCAATTCAAGACCAGCCTTGCAACGGCTATCGACGAAGCCACTTTGGTGCAGAAAATAGGCACCAAGGAACTCGAGCTATTTGTACATAAGCTAATGGTCACGCGGGGGCGCCGCACGGCGAATGAGGTTTTGAAGCTGTTTTGGCTCGCAGCAAATGGCTTCGTGGAGTACAACCACCAGAGGATTTAGGCCCGTGGTTCGGGGGCGATGCACGCAAAGAAAAAACTGAAACACTTCATTAACCAACACGAATACAAATAGCTACACAGGATCCTGCCAGAGTCCCTCGTCTCAATTGATCGACACACCCTCCAAGTCCTTCGCCAAGGCAACACACTCATTCTCGTAGTTGAGCTCGGAGATTGAGCTCACCTGGTAGCGTATCTTGGTTTGGCCGTTGTAGCTGTCTTGCCTGGCCTTGACTCTGAAGTTCAACTCCCTCATGGTGGCTGAGTTGATGAGCTTGGTGAAGTCCCCGTTGTCCTCTTCCTCCTTCAATCTGATGAGGTCGCTCGCGCTTGTTTTCAACAACTTGTTGGCCTCGTCGTCAAACAAGGTGACCCAGATCTGGCCCGTATGGTCCACGAGAGACGCGCTCAAGATGTACCTGTAGTGTGGCTCTGGGTAAGTTAGGTTACAGCGCTCGCATCTCCAGGAGCCATCGCTTTCTTGGATGACTTTCCGGTTGCAAGGCGAGGGGCCCCTGCCCGTGGTGTTGATCTCATTGGCGCACGCAGGGTAGCAGAAGTTGTCGGCCTTGATGTAGTTGATGGACGCCTTGACGGTGAAGAAATCCGGCTTCTCGTTGCTGCCCAAGCCCTCGACCTCGGCGCGGGCAATGGTCTTCCTGTTGGCCAACGGCTCGGCCGCCCCGGCGGACTCAACCTTCAAAGACTTGAAGTTCTCGTTGACGCCCTTGTTGTCATACCAGCCTTTCAACTGGTAGGCCTCAGGGATGTCAGGGTTGGCCATGATGCTGCCCGAGTGGGTCAAGGTCAACGAGCGGCCGCCGAAGTCCTGGACCTTGACGCCCTTGAACGCCACCACGGAGCCCGCCGGAATGCTGAAGTCCACGGCGGTGGCGTTCCACAAACCGACGTCGATGGCGAAGTTGGAGTCGTCAACGATGCTGACGTTTCTGCGGCTGAAGGGCTTGCCCGTGGACTTGGCGGTGATCTGGAACACGTCGTTGACGGTGTTGATGACGCCGATCACGTCGACAACCGTGTCCTTCTCGAGGTTCTGGATGGCGTCCAAGCGCGCGAAGTTGTAGTTGATTTTGGGCACGTCCGCGGTGTCGAAGCACTCGGTGATCTCCGAGTCCTTGTCGAGCGACAACTCGTAGGGGTGGCTGAGGTGCGAGAACTTGGGCTTGGCCTGCTGGATGCGCGCCTTGCTCACGTAGTACACCTTGCCCTCCTCCAACAAGTGGAAGTACTTGTCCGCCATCTCGTTGAAAGCCGTGGCGCGGATCTCGTCCGACTCGTCCAAGAAGTTCACGTTGAACAACTTGCCCTCGCCCTTGGCGTTGGACCATGTGCGGATGTCGCCCTTGTACAGCACCCGGCCCTTGATGGTCCAGTTGTTTTGGTACGGCGACAACGACTCGATGGGGTTGACGGGCCTGCTGGGGCCCGCGGGCTTGGCACGCGGCGCCGCCGGCGGAGGCACGGCGGCTGCTTGAGGAGCAGCCGCAGCGCCCTGGGCAGCGGCGCCAAACGCGGCCATGGCCATGTCTTCCTGCGGATTCTGGTCGAAGTAGGGGTCGAGCGGCGTGACCTCATGGCCCAAGCGTTCCGCCTTGGGGACCTCCACCGTAAGCGCCGACACAATGAGGATCCGCTTCATGGTCTTGGCCATGGTGAACTTGTCGATGGAAATCACCGAGAACTTGGTGAAGCCGTTGGCCTCCAAGTACGTGTTGCAGTGGGAGTCGAGGAGACCCTGGATGGAGTTCTGGCCGTCGCTGAACACGCAGCGGTAGCGTCTTTCGGCCAAGTTCTGCTCGTTGATGACCTTCAAGTTGGTCACCTGCACGCGTATGGGCTTGCCGGCCCATTTGTGGCTGGTGCTTTTGGAGAGCGCCTCCTTCAAGGCGCCGGGCGTGACGCCGTGCGTGTCAGACATGTTTCAAGCGGGTTGGTGCGGAGGTTTGCGGGGCGGGGCTGTGGGAGGTGGGCCCTTGTCAATGTTGCTGGAGGAATAAAAAGACGTGGTTCGCGTGTTTCTCAGGTGCTGCTCAATGCCCGGTGCGCGCACCACGCGTCAGTGCAGGCTGCGCACGACGGGCCGGGCCGGTGGCAGAAAAGCCGCCGTTTTTCGAGACGAGTTTGCTTGCTGAGATTTTGTTTTGGCGGATGCTGATTGGTCTTAAGTTCTTGGAGGTGGCTGGAGAGGGAGGAAATAAGGGGGGGGGGGGAAGGGCTAAGGGGCTTATGGTATTATCTTGGATGGGCTTGTTGATACGCGTATTGGAACCATTTCGCATACAGGACATGTATCAGCTAATAGATGTATACTGCTCAGCAGGTGTACTGGTATTTCAGAAATCCCGGTGGGCGTACCAACCAGGTGAAAAAAATGTAGAGATACTTTTTTTGCAGGTATGGGTTTACTGTTTATGTGGAGATACTAGTTCTGTAGATTAACTGCTGATGTAGATCTACTGCTACAGTACGTATACTGGTGATTTAGCTATTCTGGTGGTTTAGGTATACTGCCGATGTAGATATACTGTCAATGTGGGAATACCAATAATGCGAATATACTAATCATATGGATATACTGCTAATATAGGTATACTGCTAATGTAGGTATACTGCTAATGTAGGTATACTGCTACAGTAGGTATACTGCAGTAGTATAGTGTTGATGTATGATGATGGTGGAAATCTGCAACAAAGCGTCTGAGGATGACGCAGAGGTCAGGAATCAGGAAAGAAAAGGAAAAAAAAACAAGACTCCATGCGGGCTATGCCCGGCTTTCCGTATCACCTGGCTCGATTCCAAAAAAGAAGACTGGCAAGAATGATGATCTGATTCCCCGCGTTGATGACCTCGCTGGTATTTCGGCATCAAAACTGCTGAGCTTCAACTGGTAGCGTCTACAGAACTTCTTGCGAAGTCATAGAAATCAAATATGTTCCTCGATATACATCTCATGATGTTCTCTTTACTCAAATATATACCAAATTGCTCGGCAGGAGAGAATTTGTGACTGCCAGCTCTAAAGGCCACGCACACATTAAGCACCCAAGACAAAGTTCTCCCACCATGAAGAGAATCAAAGCATCACTGCACCACACCATCACTGAATGATGCCACTTCTTGTTGATTTTGGGGATCACTCGGTGAATTATGCAACAGTATGCGTATTCGCGAGCCACCGGGAAAGCTCTGTTGAGCCCAACTAACCCAGATCTCTGGTCTAACCACGGGGAATTGATGAGACTCGAGGGCCGCGTGATACACGGAGCTGGGAAAGCACTGAACGTTGGAAAGCACTGAGCGTTGGGGACTTTTCAGGCTCTAGACCGAAATCGTTGCAAAACATACATTTCTCTACTGACACACGGGCAAATATACCACTCGGGACACGAGAGCCAGTCGTTTGGGTTATTGCGGTGGGGGCCTTCTTGAGGAGCAGCGTTCATTCCTTCAAGTTGGTATTGCAACATCGCGACAACACTATTCAATGGTCTGGTTCGTATGCGCATGGCAAAGCTGAAAAGCCATGTGCGGTGCACACTCCTACGCCCGGCTCGAGTCGTGATGAAGTTGTTAGGTCATCTTGTATCTTTGAAGAAGCCCACATACTCACCGTATCTGTGCAAGTTGTTGCCTGGGCTCTGTCACCACGCACCCATCGACATGCATAACGTACGTCTCAATCTTTTGCACGTGTATAAATGGACCATCTCGACGTCGGTCTTGGGACGAGTTGGCGGCCACCTGGATTTGTGAAAGACGACAGACTCAACACTCTGAAACCCCCTGATGGCGCAAATCAGTATGCTCCACGTCGACATCCACTCTGCAGCCGTCCAGTCTGGGGTCTCCACAGAATATTCCACCACACAGAACAGCGCCCGTTGGGTACCGTGGGAAGTTGCACGTGCCGACGGTGAGTCTGGGCTACTACGAGGAACGCATCTTCACAGTGCTGAGACCGACCTTGACTGAACGCAGCAGGCGACACCGGGGCCCGTCTACGTCTCGAGAAGCCCCGCAGCCCACGACTCTGGGCCATGGTAGCCCGGTGGTCATGTTTCAGGTACGATGTGGCCTCCTCGGACGCCCGAGGACAGTGCCCAGCGACGCACCGCGAGACGCACACCAGGACGTCTACGCTGGCACGAACAGTGGTAGATGGGAAACTAGGAGTATAAATTGAAATATCTCGCAAACCTGTTGGAGGAGTTCTGGGAGCCCACGCACGGCGCCCACGCCGCCGTGGACCGGGAGTCGGGAGGCCTGTTGGAGGCACCCAATGGGGCGAGGCGGGCGCAGCGCAACAGCCCTACAACTTGGGCTGCGCAGCCGCGGCGTTGAACAACTCGTCGTTGGCATTGAGCCTGACCGCGCCGCTCTTCAACAAGGCGCGGGTCAAGTCCTGGACCAAGTCGTCGATGTTCTCGATACCGATACACAAGCGGATCAAGTCCTCGGGCATGTCGCGCTCCTCGCGGGTCTTGGCATCGATGGAGGCATGCGACATCTTGCAGGGCATGGAGATCAAGGAGTTGACGCAGCCGAAGGACACGGCGATGCCGAAGATGTCCGTGGCCTCGACGATCTTCTCCAGCAACTTGACCAGACCGGTCTCGAAGCTGAGCACGGCGCCGGCGCCGGAGCACTGGCTCTGGTGCAACGCGTGCTGCGGATGGGACTTGAGCCCCGGGTAGCGCACCTTGAAGCCCGCCTGCTGCAAGAAGCCGGCGATCTTGACGCAGTTCTGCTGCTGGCGCTCCACGCGCACGGCCAAGGTGCGCAAGCCGCGCGCCAACAACCAGCAGTCGAACGGACTGAGGCCGCAGCCGGTCGAGTTGATGACGAAGTAGATGCGCTCGGCCAACGCGGGGTCGCGCGCCGCGATCACGCCCGCCATGATGTCGTGGTGCCCGTTCAAGTACTTGGTGGCGCTCTCGTAGTGGATGTCCACGCCCAAGTCCAAGGGCGTCATCAACAACGGCGTCATCATGGTGTTGTCGAACACCACCAAGCAGTGCGGGTTGACCGCGTGCGCGTGCGCGGCGATGGCCCTGACGTCGCACACCTTGATCAACGGGTTGGTGGGCGACTCCAAGAAGATCATCTTGATGTTGCGCGTGAGCTTGCGCTTGATGAGCTCGGTGTCGGTGGTGTCGTGGTGGTGCACCTTGAGGTCGCCCTTGCTGTTCAAGTACGTGAGCAAGCGGTGCGTGCCGCCGTACAAGTCGTCGCCGGCAATCACCTCGTCGCCCGGCCGGAGCAACCGCAAGATCACGTCGAGACAGCCCATGCCGGACGTCACGGCAAACGTCTGCGACGCCTTCATGATGGCGGCCATTTTGTTCTGGAGAAACGTGCGCGTGGGGTTGCCGGACCGCGTGTAGTCGTACTCGCCCATGTTCAGCAAGGAGTCTTGCTTGAACGTGGCCGACTGGTACAACGGCGGCACGCTTGCGTTGTGCTGGTCCGTGGACTTGGAGAACACCAACTCGGTTTCGATGTTGTAGGGTTTGGAGGCCATGCTGGCGGCTGGGCTGGCTGCTGTTCGGGGGGTGCGGCGCGGGGGTGCCTGGCGGTGTCTGGGGTCGGTGTGGGTTTCCTGGGGGGCCGGGATGTATTGTCCAGAAGATGGGGAGGAAAGCGAGGAAGAAAAAGCGCCTGTTTGGGGCTGCGCGTGCCGGACTCGTGAGCGTAGATTAGTCACGGCGCTCGCACTGGGGCACGAGACCAAATGTTATCGCACGTGACCCGGGCCGGCTCGCCACGGTCCACGCCTGTGGCTTTTTTTTTTCGGGGCGTTGCAGAAACCCGGCGGGCGGTTTATGTGTGTTTTGGTACGGGTGTGTTTTGCATGGTTTTTACGAGGGATTCGTGCCTCGACGGGGATGTATTTCGTGTCCGAATGCCGTGGGTATATTGCGTGTCCAGGGCCGGTACCGACCTCGCTTCGCACGCTGTCATCGAACGCACGTCTCCAGATTGGAGACTTCCTTCGCAGGCCTGGTGCCTCGGGCGTGCAGTCCCGCCATGTTCCATACGCCCAGAGCGCTGCCCGTTTTTTTGGCGGCGAATTTTTTGGCGGCGGTTTTGGTTTTGGTAGCAGGCGTTTTGGTAGCAGGCGTTTTGGTAGCAGGATTTGTCTTAGTAGCGCTGTCTGCCCAGGCCTATCCAGACGCCCGGCCGAGCCGGGCAAACCAGCGCCTTTCGCACTCAGCAAAAAGCGGCTGGCGCGAGTGGAGGCGCCTCGGAGTCATCACTAATAAAGGCATGATGTTCAGGGCACTAGACCTTGGAAGCCCCTGGACACGCTTTTGGTCCCAGGGCTGCTCAAGTACGCTGGCTCGGCTGTACCGAAAATGGCGCGAGACTGGAAAGTCAGCTGCGGCGCCATTCACCGCCATGCCAAAGGGCCCGCGTCGTGCGGTGTGATGATAAAGATCGGTAATGTGACGCAAGTATAGACAAACAAGCCAGAACGGTATCCTGCGGAACAAGGAATGCAACAGAAGCATGAGATCACGAACAAAACAAAAACTGGATTATTGGATGGAGCAAACAAGCGAAACAGAATCATCAGACAGAATTTAAAACAAAACAGAGTTGAAATTTATAATGGACTAGGGGACAAATGACACAGATTTATTGGACAATTCTAAGACCAGAGAAATAGAATCAAAAATATTGAATGGAGCAAGAAACAAACAGAATTATTAGACAGATTTAAAGGGAAACATATTAGAAATACTAGATGGAGTGGGGGTCAAATGAAAAGGATATATATTAGACAGAACTAAAACGAAGAAAACAGAAACTGGATAATTGAGTGAAGCAGGGAGCAAAAGAAACAGAATTTTTAGACAGATTTAAAAACGAAACTGGATTGAAAAACTGAATGGAGCAAGAAATTTGACAGATTTAAATTCAAAACAAAATTCAAAATATTAAATGGAGTAGGGGGCAAATGAAACAGAATTATTGGAAAGATTCATAGACGAAAACAACATAATTAAAAATATTACATGGTGTGTGGGACAAATGAAACAGAATTTTTATACAGATAGAGGAACAGACAAAACAGAAATATTAGACAGAACTAAAAAACAGAAATAAGATAATTGAATGGAGCAGAAAACAAAAGAAACGGAATTATTACACAGATTTTGAAAAAACATTTTAGAAATACTAAATGAGTACGCGACAAATGAAACACATTTACTAGACAGATTTTAAAAAAAGTATTGGAACTACTAAAAGGTAGGCGACAAATGAAACAGATATACCAGACAGAACTAAAACCAACAAAACAGAAATAAGATAATTGAACCGAGCAGGGAACAAAAGAAACAGAATTATTGCACAGATTTAAAATCACATATTAGAAACACTAAATGAGTAGGCGACAAATGAAACAGCATTATCATACAGATAGAAACAAACAAACCAGAAACAAGATTACTACATGTACAGTCCAAAAAAACAATACAGAATCAAAAACACTGCACTCCCGTCAAAACAAACGAAACAGGAGCCCCGGAAAAGTCAGAAACAAACAGCCCCATGCTTGTTTCACCGTCCTCCCGTAAAACAACAGGAAGCAACACATGGACACAGTGGCACATCGTTCTTGCACCCTCTGCAAAGGAGGACGTGCAGGGTGCGCCCGGAAACCTCCTCCTACCCCAGCCACGGGGCGCTACGGATGAATGCCTCTCAGCGTCTATTATACAAGGATTTCTATGCATGCTGGCGGCGCCAGCCTCCTTACAAGTCCGCCCGGGTGAACTTGCGGAGATCCGTGGGCTCTGCACCGAGAAGCACCTTTCTGCCGCTGAGCGGCTCGCACGACTCTCTGCCAGACACGGGGCCCCTCTTCTCCAACGGCTTGCCGGCCTGCAACGTCTTCAAGAGCTCCACGGTCTTGGCCGCCGTCAAGTCCTCGTGGAAGTCGTCGTCAATCGCCATCATGGGCGCGTTCACACACGCGCCCAAGCACTCGACCTCCTGCAAGGTGAACATCTTGTCGGGCGTGGTCTGGCCCGGCTTGATCTTCAAGTGGTCCGTGACAGCCTTCATGACCTCGTCCGACCCGCACAACTGGCAGGGCGTGGTGGTGCACACCTGGATGTTGTACTTGCCCATGGGCTGTCTCATGTACATGGTGTAGAACGTGGCCACCTCGTACACGCGCATGGGCGGCATGTCCAACATCTTGGCCACGTAGTTCATCACGGAAATGGACGTGAAGCCCAACTGGCGCTGGCCCAAGTCCAAGAGCGGCATGCACGCGCCCTTCTTGTACTGTGCCGGGTACTTGGCAATGATATCCTTGGCGCGGCTCAAGTTCTCGGCGGTGAACTCGAAGGGGAGTTGCTGGTTGTCCTCCTTGATGTCTCTGTGGACAGAGATTATGCTGCTGTTTCTAGACGCCTGCTTCATGAGCGAGGCCAAGGGGCCGGCGGAAAACTTCTGGGGGATATGGCGGAACATCGATGCAGGGCTGTGGGGTGTGTGGGAAGAGAAGGAAACGACCCGAAGTTCGGTGCTAGCTTTGGGGGATACGCCGGGTGGAGGACTGCGGAGTTGGAACGAGGCCCTGGAAACCCAGGCTTTTTTTTGGCCAGTGTTGCGTAAAGCGAAAACGCGGCGCGCCCATTGGCCGCGGGAAACCCGTGCACCCGCCTGCCTGGCTCCCCGGACTGGCCTGGTGGGAAGGGCCAATTGGCCTTTTTGGTGCGGCTTGGCCCGAAGTCGGGCCGGGGCTGGGAGAGGAAAGCTAGGCGGGCTGTCTATATTTTTTTGGGCTTGTAACTGGGGTTTTGTGTGCGGAGCACTGTGCCTTGTGGTGCTCAGTTTGGAGTGCTGGCAGGCCGCCACCGGGGTGCTGAATGTAAGACGTTCGCAGTGAATAATCGCAGTGAATATTCGCAGTCCATACCGGGCCCAGTGCAATATACGGGCTCTACCTGCTAGGGGGACCAGGCACGTCCCATGGGAATTCGGAACAGGCCAGAGTCTAAAGGGCTGGCTGTGCACTTGTACAATCAAAAACCAGTTGCGTTTTATTAGTGGGACCACGGGCCTGGCTGTGCCTTAAGGACGCTGACCAGGAACCGGTCTGGAGAACGCCGCGCGCATGTACAGCTCAGATAGCCTTGAACGCCACTTGGATATTCTTGAACATGGACAGCCTCAATAGCCTTGATCGTGGACAACTTCGATAGCATTGAATATAAGTAGCACCAAAAATATCCGCCAGAGGCCAAAGTCCAATTCTGCCGTAGCTTCAGGTCCACAGGGAGCCCCGATCTATCAGGCGTATCCTATTACAGGTACATCTCTACAAACCAATACCACATCTCTACAATCCAATAAACGATCGCGATACATTAATCGGCAATATACATTACATTACTATGGAACAAATGCTTAGTTTCTCTTAGCAAATCTTCTTGGACCTCTTTGAGAAGAAATGGCAACGGTTTGCAATGGGATCTTGAAGCCCAAGGTCTTGACCAAGTCGGCGGTCTCGGCGTCAACCTCCAATTGGCCGTTGGTGTGGGACAAGTCCAAAGCAGAGACCTCTGGGACGTACTGGTCCTTTCTCTCACGCTCCTCCTCTTGCAACTTGAAAGAAATACCACGGACTGGGCCCTTTTGGATTCTCTTCATCAAGTGGGTGGTGTAACCGGCGATCTTGTTTCTGAGTCTCTTGGATTGGATCTCGGCGATCTCAGTGGTCAATCTCTTGTTGGTCTCGAAGTCCAAAGTCAACTTTGGGTAGAATCTTTCAATCAAAACCTTAGAGGCTCTCTTGACAGTCTTAGTTCTAACACGACCCTAGATAGGAGTTAGTAATGGGTTCACTGGATGTCTTCAAGCATGGGCGTGCCTCTCACTAGCGTGTCTGGAATATGGTCACTTCCATTGTTCTGCTTATATGGGACGCCTGGTAGAATAAAGGGGCGTCTGAAACTGCAATTTTGGGGTAAACGATAATGGTTTTCAAATGTAAATGGATGGATACGAGCAACCGAGCTTCACGCGGTATTTTCAAAACATCGCAGGGGTCATAAGGAAGGTTTGATGCGTTCGTCTGCATTTCAAATAGCAAGGCCGATTTGATGCGTAGGGAATATGAACATGGGGACATCGTGGTGCGTCTGTTTCATCGTGTTTGTTTTTAATGGCTGGTATGGGAGGCAACAGACTCGTTGTGCTTGTATTTGCTTTGCGTGCTACATACCATTTTTGATGTTTTTTGATGTACGTTGAGGAGAAGACTTCAAGAAAGGATTGAGAATTGTGATATGTGAATGGGTAGGGCGAAATTTTTTCGCTCGGCCAGTGCAGGACTGGAAGCGCGTGAGGTTCACGTGACTGGCCGTGACTTGGTTTTTCCCCGAGGGATGGGTGCGATCAGGTCACGTGCGCTGTCTGGTTGGACATGGCGGTTGTCTGGTGTAGGCTAAGCACTATTCGGTAGGAATTTGTGAGTTGTCGTGGTGCTTGCTGATATCTACTTTTTGTATTGCTGTTTGGCTTCTTTCTTGTTGCTTCGGTCAAAAGGCAAGCCTGCATCCTGCGTGTGTCGTAGTAATGACCGGCCACCCAGTAGGTCGTGTATATCATTGTAATTGTAATCTACCAAGGTGTCTGATTAAAATATTCCTCATTCTTGATCACATCTCGGCTAGGGTCTGATAATTCGATGTTGTTCTTTTTCTTCTTTCTTTGGGTCTGGAGGCTATTTATCCGCTGATGTGTCTAGATTGAGCGCTTAATTCACTTTAGTTCAAACCGACTCTGATTGATGTTTGGCAATATTGTTTAGACTCGAGTCTCATTGAAACCATTTGTATTTTTCTCCCCAAGCTCACGAAAATGGACTTTTGAGCAGCTCAAGGCGATGAACAACTTTGAGATGCGACATTTGCACCCAATTCGCTTGAACGTTAAGAGCGTTTTGTTGCAAGTAACCCGTTATCCAAAATGAGTCCTGTTTCGAGAGATTCGTAATTTCTTGTTTATGTGATAAGTCTAAATTAGCAAGATTTAATCTTTTTGCGACCAATGACTTCACTAGTTGGGGACGGAGGCCGTGAATGGGGCGTGGTATGCACTTCGGACCTGGGTCCTTCTCATTTGTGGAGGCTAATATTTTGCCATCCTGCTCGAATGGGTTTTAAGACGAGAGCACAGAAACCAAATGGCTAAGTATCAGCTGGCTAGGTTTCACAGCGCCTGCCTACGTGTACGGTAGAAAAGCATATGAGGCCGGGCCTACATAAAATTAATAGCCATCACAAATGCTTCTGACCGGACCTCGACGGGTGTGAGACCAGATACACTAAGCAATCCCTGCGTATTTGCCATTCACTTCAGTTTACGAAGCCTGCTCCAAAATTTCGCATTTACCCAGTGAATTGGACCTATCGTGTCGTGTCTTATTTCTCCCATACCTCAATATTCTTGAGGTATGAATCATCTCATGTCGTCGCAATCGCAGATTGCGGAACCAATTCAAAAACCTCACATGCAACTCTTAGAAACTCAAACCAAAAAACAGCATTTGAGTCCCCCGGTAAATATACACCTGATTCAAGCAACACAACCTCTCCGTCGCCTCTTTCCGTGTGTTTCCACATTGTTCCTCTTCCGACGGCCGCGCACGTGACCTGCGCGTTCCATGAATGAGCCGAAACGGTATCTCTTAGCTAATATACCAAACAACAACAAGCACCACGCAATATGGAAAAGGGCCGGCTCTATCACTGTGACGTGTGTTCATCTGACTGCTCGAACAGAATCCGGATCAAATGCGCCATTTGCACAGACTACGATCTCTGCGTGCCTTGTTTTGCGTCGGGCTCCACCACGCTAGACCATAAGCCATGGCATGACTATCAGATCATCGAGCAAAACACGTATCCTATTTTCGATAAAGACTGGGGCGCCGACGAGGAATTGAATCTTATTCAGGGATGCGAAACCTTCGGATTGGGCAACTGGCAAGACATTGCGGACCACATTGGCCACCGGTCCAAAGACGAGGTTGCCCTGCACTATACGAAGATATACTTGGACTCCAAGGAGTACCCACTACCGGAAATGGACAAGGATTTCTCGCAGATCTCCGCGGGCGGGTTTCTAAAAAACAGAAAGGCCCGTTTGGAGGAGCGCAAAATGATGCCGTTGCCGCCACCGAAACCCAAGCCTGCCGTTTCGGTGCCGCTTTGCCACGAATTGCAGGGCTACATGCCGGGCCGGCTAGAATTTGACCACGAGGCGGAGAACGAAGCCGAGGTGCCCATCAAAGATATGATTTTCGACCCGGAGGACTCTGCGGGTGACATCGAGTTGAAGTTGACGATTTTGGACATCTACAATTCCAGACTTACTACGCGTGCCGAGCGCAAGCGCGTGTTGATTGCCAACGGCTTGCTTGAGTACCGCAGAAATATCTCCAATGACAAGCGCAAATCAAAAGAGGAGAAGGAGTTCATGAAGAGAATCAACGCGTTCGTGCGTATCATGACACCGCAGGATTTCGAGGACTTTTCGACCGATCTTCTCACGGAGTTGCGGTGCCGCATGCGTATCCACCAGTTGCAGACATGGCGCCGCAATGGCATCACCACGCTCGAAGATGGCAACAAGTTCGAGAAGGATAAGTTGATCCGCCTGGCGCACTACCAGCGGATGGGCAATGGCCTGGGCCTTGCAGCACGGACCGCCGCACTGCTGCTAGCGTCCAATGGAGTCCGGAAACTGAGCACGCCGCAGCCTCCGTACAAACCCAAGATTAACACCAGCAATGTGCGGGCACCGCTCGACCTTTCACACGCAACCGACTTCGACTTGCTTTCGGCGGAGGAAAAGCAGTTGTGTTCTGCGCTCCGCATCTTGCCCAAACCTTACTTTGCCATCAAGACGCAGCTCATGAAGGAGGCGATCAAAAACAACGGCGTGCTCAAGAAGAAAGACGCGCGGCAGTTCTTGAAGATCGACGTTAACAAGGCGTCGAAGATCTACGAATTCTTTGTGCACATGGGCTGGTGCTCCCAGGGATAAACTATGTGCAAGCGACATTCGGCTTCCCGGAACGGGAGGCCACTTTTGCGATACCGGTATGATTGGGGCGTGCGGGTCCAGAGACCAACACAAACGCATGTCTTTGTCTTCATCATCGGCGATACTTTGGCGCTTTGAAAAACATATTACCGCACGAATGCATGTGTCTGCTTGGCAATCTTGTCTGTATCTGGTTTACTTGTTGAGCTGATGCGTGCTCGGTGGTACACATATTCGGGACACAGCAGTGACATGAAGACCAGAAATCAAAACATCTGATGATGTGTTTCTACGGCTAATTGCTTCTAAATTTTCTCAGCTGCTCAAAGTCACTGCGTGTGCAGAAGCTCATATATTGGACTCGTGCGTTTGAGCCGATAGCTCGGAGCAGAATCAAGGGACGAGTACAGGAATTCGAGTGTGCCCAATCCACACAAAGCGAATAACGAAAGTTCTTATTTGAATACTTGAACATGGGTGAATGTGTCGGCTAACAGAGGCGCCACGAGATGGATATACCAACACAGGGAATGCGAGCCTACGGATAAGCCGAAGAAAAACAACACTATGGTCCAATTTCTCAACAAAGAAACCTGTTGCAAAAGCCGGTCCAAAAAATGGAGGTTTCAAGAACCCCTCTCTCCCAGTCGGCCCAACTACGATCCGATAATCAGCCTATCCGAGCAGCCAGCCCAAGGCTCACCAACACCACGCGCCTAGTCACGTGCGCGCTGCGGCCTTTCACCTGCCTAGCACCGCAGCTCCTCGACAGATGTGGCCTTAGAACCCTGCAAGCGCCAAAACCTGTCACGGAATTGCTCAAAAAAACTCTTTTAAATACACGTGTTTTGCAAAACACATTCTGGAATTTTTGAACGGACAAGCAAAGGGAAGCACAAATAAACCAGCGTCCCTCAGTGCCTGTACCACCATCCCCCAAGAGACTTAGACCTCCACGCAAACAAACCGTCAAACAATGCAGTTCTCTCAGCTAGCCTCAATCGCCCTTGCGCTTGCGCCTCTCTCAGCAGCCAGCGGCAAGGCGCAATTCTTCCCGCTCACGCGAAAGGGCGAAATCCCAACTATCCAGCCCTACGCATTGGGCCAGGAGGTGTTGGTGGACTGTATCTCCAGAAACATTGACAACGGCGAGCACAAGTTTGACTCCAACGACCGGATCATCTACAAGGCTTTCCCCACTTGCAAGGAGACCGGGAAGCCGCTCACATTCAAGTACGGCGTCTCTGAGGATGTCAACTGCACCATTAGCTTCTCCGACGAGCTTTACCACTTGTTTCAGTTGTACGTGCACGAAGATGCGCCATTCAGCTGCCGGATCCCCATCAGCTCAGAAGCCAACTACTTGGAACTGGGCGGTGCGCATATTCCGTTGACATTCAACCTCAGAGGAGAGGTACATGACTCGCACTTGGACATCGATTCGCAGATGAATGTGGTCATGACCAGGCCTGCGCTGAAGAGGCCGGAGCAGCAGACTGTGGTGAACGCCGCCGCATGGTCTGCAGGTACCAACGCCACGCGTTTGACGATTGGCGAATCTTTGACGCTCGAGCTCGCCGTGCGGTGGTTCGACTCGATTAAGCCCGCAGGGTCCCAGGGAACCGCTGACTTGCCGTTTACGGATGGTTTCTACAAGTTGCCAATGTACTCCGTGCCGGTTTCCTATATGCAATATGCAATGTCCTTGGTGGTGGTGGCGCTCGTGTCGGCCGTAGTGTCGGGCTTCATCTCTTTCAGGCTCAAGAAGACCCGCGGGTACCACCCACTCTCGGACAGAGAGGCGGGTGTTGCCAAGCAGGACTGAGGCGCTTACTGGCACTTCTGGATAATCGCGCGCAAGAGCTGTACCGTGCGCTCGGATTTCTCCTCCTCGCAGTTCACGTACTCGGCATTCAAGAAAGCCACGTACTGTGCCGCCAACGCTACTTTTTCAGTGGCACTGCGTGTCTTCAGTTTGTAAGCCATGTACTTGTTCACCGAGAGCTGAAGCGCCTCGGCCAAGTTGCTGTCTGACACCTTGACGTTCCGGAGCGGGAGCGTGATGTCGAGCATCACCGTGCGTGGGTTTGAGCCATGGGTATTTTGCAAGTAGGACACAACATGATAGTTCAAGTAGTCTCTGTTCAAGTTCTCGAACTTGCTGAAAACTTCGAGGTACTGCTCGGCAAGTTCGAATAGACGGCTCTCGCGGGATTCTTGCGCCACGCCCTTCAGAAGCTCGGGGATGCTCACGTCGAACACCGTAAGCGCAATATCTCCCTTGAGCACAGGGTTCAGGTCAGGGTTACCCAAAATGTTCATGTCGGCCTCGGGTAACAGCGCCAATTGCTCTTTAATTTCGTCCTCGTTGTCGTCGTCAAAAGCAATGACGTCATTGTTGATTGCTGCAGCGTCTTCGCCCTCAGTGCCATTTTCGGCAGGCACCTTTGCTAAGCGGCTTTGGAAATCCGAGGCCTGCGCCTGCAAATCCTCTTCTTGTTGCTTCTCGGTGAGTAAGCCCATGACCTTCCGCCTGGCGAGCAATTTGGACACATATGCCAATTCAAACTGTGCGTAACTCAACCAGAGCTTGCTGCTTTCGGGGTTCAACTTCAATGCTCTTTGGTACAAGTCACGTGCGCCCTTGGCGTTGGCATTGGTTTCGAACTCGTACTTGGCTGCAGAGAGCCAGGCTTCCACGTTTCTCGGCTGCAACAGCAAAAGTTTGGCGTACACACGATACACAATTTTGATGGCGTCTTTTTCTTTCACGAACTGGAGGAATTTCAGCCAAAGTTCGAGGTTTGCAGGGTACCGCCTCACGGCTCTGTCAAAAACGAAGATAATTTTACGGAAGCCGGCCCAGTCCGATATGGAGGGTTTGGCGTCCACCAACTCGGTTTTGTGGAGCCGCTGGAACCGCTTGATTCGAAGCCTTTCCAAGTTAATTTCAAAGTCACTGTATTTTAAGAAATCTCTGGGCTGCGAGCCTCTACCCAGAATGCGGTGCTCGAAATCCGTTCTTCTTCTCATGATCATGGTGATTTCCCTCTTGTCAAAGAGGCCCTTTCTCTCAAGGTCCTCCAATTCAGGAACCGACTGTTCCATGTAAAATCTGATCGTGGACGCCATTTTGCGATGTGTGTTGAGGGGATACAGAGATGTGACTTTCGAAGACTGATTAAAATTCTTGAGAAGAGGCAGATGCCTTCTGGTGGTCAATGTGCAGGACACCAATATATGTCTTCAAATTCGGAAATCTGCGGTTTTCGCCTCAGCTCCCTCAATTTTTTATCAGGCCGTGTCTCATAGTGATACACATATGGAAATAATGCTTGTTTAGGGGAGCCCTGCGTGGTGTCAAAAGAAAAGTCAAATGTATGTTGGGCCCGAGGGATGAGCACCGATACTGGGTGCACCACTAAAACGCAGCCAGAGTGAAGACGAGATCGATTCCAAATGAAACGTCTCATATTCGTTGGTAAAAGAAGCCTGAAATCTGAAGACATCGTACTAGCTAAGGATTTGGGGGATCACTTCACACTCTGTACACTACAAATTATTTTCAGCTAATAAAAGTATGGTTGTGATCGTCCAATTCCAGACATTTATATACGATTGCATGTGTATTTCGTCGCACTTTATAGAAGTGATTTTATCAAGCATAGATGAATCACCACCGGCATTGTCTTGAGTTGTAAAGTATGCCTCCTCTTTCCTCATCGATGAGTTTCATCCAAAAAATAAAAACGAAGACCTAAAATTCTTGGTGCGTGTAAATCACATTTGCAGAGAATTGATCAATCCATGATATAGGGCTTATTACAGTTATTCTTCAACGCTAGCAGACTGCTTTCTCTATTTTGTACAAATTTCACGATTGGGACTCGATTGTGTTGAAATTAGCGTCAAGGGACCAAACAATCTATATGTGGCTCGCGTAGAACCATGGCGGCTCTGGAGAGCATACCTGTGAAGAGTGATACAGGCAGGATAACGGTATATCTCCATTAGCATACATAACATGTTATAGGGAAATTGAAGAGTCTGGGGGTAAACTAATCATCGATGCTCAAATTTCTTTTGTAAATACAACATTTTATTGTGCAGAGTTATACGATGTGCTTCTTGCTAGGTCCGATTTATTGTTTCCGCGGCCACAGACCGCGATGGTACTGCACGACTGTGTAATTTCGTTTAATTTTTTTCAACTGAAAAAAAACAAATGCTCCAGGAGGAGTTTGAACCCACGACCGTCGCGTTCCTCACACGACCGTGACTTTGGTATAACCAATCGTCGTTAAACGGCTATAAGCACGAAGCGCTAACCACTGCGCCACTAGAGCACCTGCAAATAGAATTACATTAATAAATGGCTATATAGGTTTTATGGAAATAATTCAACGGGTCAAACGTACCGTGTAGATTGTGAAAAAAGGAAATATTCGCTCCATGTTTTCACACTAGGTGTATGTTCAAAATATAACTCAAAATTGATGATATTCAGTATTGTCCGTATGGTAATGTGACTTAGACATCATAAACAACAGCACCAACCAAGAGAGGAACGGTTTCGACTCCCAGTGTGTCAATTAGCTACGTCAAACTAAGTGCGTACCGAAAGAATTGTCAACAGGTGATCAACGGAGGGAATGAGCTGTGTCCCGACACTTGATACGTATTTTCAAGCTGGTTTGAGGCTGCATATATGATATTATATAGTTTAGTTCCTTCAATCCACTAAAAAAAAGCAGTTTTAAGAGACTCAAGTTTTGCTCTTTTCTCCAGTTTGTGGTAGTCGCATCTGATCGAAAGAACAAATCTTCAAAGTTCTATTTCAGATGAATCTACCAAAAAACAAAGTTGAGAGAATATGTATCTCTTGGATTGCAATAATATTCTATAGTCCAAGGAATTTTCGATACGAAATCATCAGCGATGTCTCGAGGTAAAATATTCCTAATCCAATCTCTTGTGTGGATCATTCGAAATTAGAGGCGGAATTCATGAGCTCTTGATCAACCTCATGCTTGACACGATGTTACACTGTCAATCCTTGTAGAATAAATGATACTCATGAGAAGTTCTAATATTGCACATCTATTCGTATGTCTTAATTATTGTACCTCACTATTTGGGTCATATTTGAGCTTATCGGACAATGTAGTTCTGAACTGAAACTCATATATTTTGTGAAAATAAGTAATCATTTCGGATGAGGCTAATCTGAGTGTATAATTTCCCTCCCAACAAAAATCTTGAGCACTTTGAGAAATTGTCAAAGTTTCCAATGTGCTTAGTAAGGCCTTCAACACAGAGAACCATTTTTTTCCAGTTTAAGGTATGTTTTGCAATGCTGAGAGAAGGTGCTTTGTGAGTACCCTCCAAGATTTCCATTGCCTCCGTTCGCCTTGAGGCCCAATACTAGCAAATTAAATTGTGATGGTATTAATGCCAACATAATTGTAGCTGTGGTGGGTTTACAGTTTTTACCCCCGCTCGGATAAACGCCCTTGATAACACTACTGATTTCATATGTCGTCCGCTATATTCAAGGTTTTTAAGCTTGATCCTGTTGTGATGGAGAATACCACGCCAAGGCATTCCTCCAAAACTGTTCAGTGAGTAGACTGTTCCGTGCTATTTTACTTTTGAAAAAACAGACGTATCTACATGACCTCTGAAGAAGAGCCAACGGGGTGGCGATATTTGAAATTACCTTACGACACAATCATATTTTGGTCACCAATGGTATTTTTGAAAAAAAGCAACCATTTCATACCTTGTTTCCTTTGAAAAGGCAACACATTTTGGTGCATGTCATTGAGGCGGGGCGAAGGTGCTGACTAAACTCAGGTCTAATCAATGCGGGTAATTGTTTCCGCAAATGAGCCGTGCGGCTGTGCACAACTATTGTGTACATGCCACCTTCATCAAACTTTAAACCTGAATTGCCTGAAGACATTTGTTTAGAATTTACCATCCAGCTTTTTCCTACGTATTCAATTAATACTTCCTAGATTTGTCGCAAAAATAAGAGACTCATTGAGGATGGACAAAATTCGTGTGAATTAAGACGAGTCTTGCCACTCTTGCGATGCCGCTTATAAATCACCGTTACCACGATCCTGAAGGTTTATGCAGTAGTACATTTGTTTTCTTCCTTTATGACGTCCAAAAATAACTATATGCCAGTGATCGCGGGTGCGATGGATATCAACATGCACACCATAGCTACTGTGACGGAAAGGATCTCGTAAAGAAATTCCT